TGATTCTTGGATGCTGGTTGTTAAGGTGTTGTAGAAGGCAGTCGGGGTCATCTTCTTCTTTCAGCATTACGAACGTATCATCGACTTTTCTATAATAGCAGATGGGAGATATTGGTGAGGACTGCAGTGCCTTCTCTTCCAAGGAGGTCATGTACACTTCGGTCAGTAGCGGGGATAGGGGGCTTCCCATTGGTAGGCCGTGTATCTGTTGGTATAAATCATCTCCCCGGGTGAAGTAAGTAGTGTTGACACAGTTTGTGATTAATCTAATTATACTGTCTGTAGTGAGCTGTGTCTTTAAGGGTGTTTCTAGTTGGTCTAGGCGTTGACAGAGTACTTCTATAGCTTCTGATCTGGGGACATTTGTGAATAGGTCCACTACATCATAGGACACAATTTTCCCTGGATTTTGTATATTTTTAATTTCCTCACAAAATTCTGAAGAGTCTCGAATGAAGGATTTAGCGGACTTGCCTAGGGTTGATAAGAGTTTTGAGAGGTACTGAGCTGGGTTGTAGTGAACGGAATCACGCGAGCAGACTAGTAAGCGAGCTTTGATCAGATCTTTATGTATTTTTATAGTGGCTCTCGCATAAGGCGGACGAGGGTGGTTAGATCGCAGTTGATAAAATAGGTTGTTGTCAATTTGGTTCTTTTCTTTAAGTTCGTTTAGGGTTTTAGCATGTTCTTTACTTAAGGTGCTTGTTGAGTTTTTCCTTATTCTGCGGTAGGTGGTAGTATCGTGCAATAAGTTGGAAACTGTTAAGTGGTAATCATCTTTATCCATAATGACCGTCGATTTACCTTTATCAGCCTGGACAACTGTAATGTTTTTATCTTCTTTTAATTCCTTTAAGGCTTCCCTTTCTAGTCTGCTGATATTGTTAGGTTGTGGAGTAGATTTAGCTATTAGTTCGGCTATTTGGTGTCTAATGTAGTCAACCTTCCCACCTGGAGCTAACTGCCGGAGACCCTTTTCTATGTTCACTATGTACTCATCATGATTCCTTGGTTTTGTGGTTGGTACGTACTTTAGACCTCTGGAGAGTAGGTTGATCTGTTCATCTGTGAGTGGGCGGTTGCTGAGGTTGATGACAGTTTTGGAGAGAAATTCGTCTCTTGCATTAGAGCTGTTGCTGGAAGTGGTCCCCTTGGTCTTCTGGGCTTTGAGTGACTTGTATTTCTTCGTTTGTCTGGTTTTAATTTCTTCATCGATTTTGAGATTAGATTTGGTCTGTATATTTCGGAGGGAACTGTAATCTTCATCTGATAGGGTATCTTGTAATTTCTGACGCTCTATCTCTGATTTTGCAAATAGTCAGTGTTTTTCATTTCTGAAATTGTGACTTTTTCAATGTTCACAAGCTAAAAACTAATTTTTCGTACAATCAGAGGCCATAATCCATGAAGTTACAGTCCGATACATGCCAATATCGAAAGGAACCGAGATCTTAGGGTGATAAACCTATATTTCACGTTTCATTGAAATCGGATAAAAATTGTGACCTGTAGGCTGTTCACAAACAATTTTGGACGGACGGACAAGGGCGACAACAATATACGTCCACATGAAAATGTGGGCGTCTAAAAATTCTAAAGAGTTCTTAAAATTGAAAGATTAATTTCAGCTAAAACGAATAATGTTTGTTGTTACGTTTTTTATTGAATTTAGTAATTTTTGTTATATTTTTAAAATCTCTAAAAATCAACATGTTGCAATTAAATTTGTATTAATTTAATTTGATAAGTCTGTCCATTCATTATATGAATTAGTAGTTTGTATATGTTCACATTTTTGGAACGTTTTATCTCTACGTATATAGACGTTAGGCTTTGGTGAAATTTACGTTACCATCTTTATTGGCAATAATCTTATTATATGTTACGCCAGATAAAAATTTCGAAAATTCATACAGAAATAATATAATGACTAGATGGTTTAATTTTTTAATATCGTATGGGTTGAAAATGGCTATTAAGTTTAGATATGACAGAAATAATAACTTATTTCTCCCACGTGACCATATATGATGTGCATGGTAGAAATCGGTTAACTGGGGACTTGATACATTCGTTGTCCAATAAACATTAACCGCGGACTTGATACACACAATCATATTTTTCCTTTTTCAGATCACACACATGAAAGATACACCTTAACTGGTGAATACCGCCTAACACGGAGCACCTCAGATCGACATTAAAATCAAATGGGATTTTAAATTCAGGCTTCTGAACATCGTTACAGTCCTGGTTTTTACGGAAGAAAAGCGGACACACAGGGGTTTGCAAATAATTGGGGAAATACGACCGAACGAGTCCCTATGCTAGTTACGTCTAATCGAGGACATGCATGGTGTAAGTTTGGAACACTGCCAAACGAGGTCATTTGCTCTATACTTCATACTGTTGACTTGACGCTTATTGTGGTCTTTAGCCTGTAAATAACTACGTTTTTGTCCATCCTTTGACCACACATGGGAATAAATACAATATAACTGTTTAAAATTGATGTATGGCACAATATAGCGATAGGACAGTCATTTATTAATGTGATCAACCGAGAACGTATATTATGTTTTATAAACGACAAATGGAAACTTTGTGTATGGTGAACACCAACAACCGAGTACACACACACTCACATCCGAGGACGTTACAAGCAGTGATGGGATTTCAAAATTTTTCTTGTTGTTTACCGAAAATAAAGGGGCATAACACTTATCATTATTTAAGCAGGCAGTTTTAGACCACAATTAAACATCATGTGTCAATAAAATATTTAAATTCGTACTTAATAAAAAAGATAGGTTGCCAGGCAACGAAAAATACGCCCTCAGCAGCTAAATCGTCCGGGCAGTCAACAAGAGTTGTCACATATTTTTACTTTTTTTCAGTAATGAAACATTTATAATACATTAAAATCTGATTAAGAGTAACAACTGATTAAGTAATTATCAGAAAATCATTAGAATTTGTTTGGTTTTTATAAAGTTTTGTCCCATGCTAACGTTTAGTAAACTTTTAACATCATGGATTTAGCTGTCCAAGTCATAAAAATTCATTGAAAATCAATATACTTTTGTTCGTCTCAAGACCTTAAACTCTGTGTATGAATCTGAAGTCAATCGGATGATAACTTTAGCTTCTAGAGGGTCACAAGATTTTTCAAAGTGATCAAGGGCCATAACTTTGGCAGTAATTATCGGAAATTGTTGAAAATCAATATGATTCTTCGTCTCATGACCTCAAACACTCTGTATCAATTTAAAGTCAATCGGATTTCAACTTTAACTTCTAGAGCATTTACAAGATTTTTCAAAGTGATCAAGGACCATAACTCTGGCAGTAATTATCGGAAATCGCTGAAAATGAATATACTTCTTTGTCTCATGACCTTAAACACTGTGTATAAATTTAAACTCAATCGGATATTAACTTTAGCCTCTAGAGCGGCCACAAGATTTTTCAAAGTGATCAAGGACCATAACTCTGGCAGTAATTATCGGAAAGCGCTAAAAATCAATGTTTCTTCGTCTCATGACCTTAAACACTGTGTATCAATTTAAAGTCAATCGGATATTAACTTTGACCGCTAGAGCGTCCAAAAGATTTTATGAAGCGATCAAGGGCCATAACTCTGGTAGTAATTATCAGAAATCGCTGAAAATCAATAGGCTTCTTTGTCTCATGACCTTAACTTTAGCCTCTAGAGCGGCCACAAGATTGTTTAAGTGATCAAAGGCCATAACTCTGGCAGTAATTATCTGAAATTGCTGAAAATCAATAGGTTTCTTCGTCTCCTGGCCTTAAACACTGTATACAAATTTAAAGTCAATCAGATATTAACTTTAGACGGCCGGACGGACAGCGGTGACGACAATGTACGACCACATTTCAATGTGGGCGTATAAAAAGGATTCTACTACGACTTCCAATAGTCATATCCAGCAACCAATAACACCTAGAAAATGTCTTGAATCAGAATTGAGGAATGAAGGGGTAAGCCCAAGTAAATTGCCCAGGGTAGTAGGAGATAGGCTGCTATTATCAAATGTTTTATACGAAGAATTATGAGAAGCAAGAGTAGTATATGGAACTAAAGGGAAAAGGGTGATAAGAAAGATAATTTCAGGCAAACTTATTGATACATATAGACTGAGACGAAAACTAAATAAAACCACAGGATTTTGTAGAAAGGGGTTGAAATCACACGGAAAAGAAATTAAAAGAATTCCTAAAATAAGTAAATTAGTAGAAAAACAAAAAAAAATGCAAGAGGATATTCAGGCCTTCTTAGAGAGGGATGATAACAGCAGGATGCTGCTAGGCAAAGCTGATAGCCAAGATACAAACCGGAACCTACCAACAGAAAAGAATATTGAACGGCAGTAATTATCGGAAAGCGCTGACAATCAATAGGTTTCTTCGTCTCATGACCTTAAACACTGTGTATCAATTTAAAGTCAATCGGATATTAACTTTGAACTCTAGAGCGTCCACAAGATTTTATGAAGCGATCAAGGGCCATAACTCTGGTAGTAATTATCAGAAATCGCTGAAAATCAATAGGCTTCTTTGTCTCATGACCTTAAACACTGTGTATAAATTAAAAGTCAATCGGATATTAACTTTAGCCTCTAGAGCGTCCACAAGCAATTGTGGACGCCGGACCGACGGGGGCGATGACAATATACGACCACATTTCAATGTGGGCGTATAAAAATAGGTGCGACTCGTTATTTTTCCATATTTAATTCCCATAAGGTATTCAAATTTATGTCAGTAATATTCCTACAAAATTACGTGTTGTTGGAATATTAAATCCAGGCTTCTGAACATTGTCACAGACTTGGAATTGGTCCAAAAAGTCCTCGGGTGAACCGAGGACGTCCTTGGTTGACACAGGTCCGTGATTAGAAGGTGTGTATTCAGATGTGTGTCCTCGATATACACCATATACAAACGCACACACACAGAGATATTATTCAGATATTTACCAAATCCAAGTCTTTCTTTTCAGTTCATCTTTTTTTCTCTCAAATGTTTTATCAAGCCACCATTCTGCAGTATTATGCTTAGATGTTAATGAAGGTTGAATGAATGGCTGTGAATTACCATTTAAAAAATGGAATAAAGGAACTGCCAACAACCAGGTAGAATCAGCATAATTATGTCTATCGACATCTACTGGACTTAATATCAACGTTGAAATGGAACTGGCAATAACCCTAAAAACAAAATTACCAATAAGAACCATAATATGATCACCATTGTAAAACCAGAAATTACTGCGAGTAGGAAATTACAGTATTATAAATACCATATTACATGTCCCCATTAGGATTAACTTCAAACATAGATGAGACTTGTCAGGTCTCTTAAGAGCCCAACCAGCAGCAAATATGTCAAAACTGAATCTAAAATCATTGATACTGTCGATAATCTGTTGAACTTCAGATTGGGCAGTCCGTGTTCAAATTTCTAAATGATCCAAATCCAAATTTCGGCAACATAATGCAGTAATCATCAAGTAGTTAATAAGCCATCCATGCAGAGATAAATCTATGCAATTCATACACTCTGCCATTCAATATGACTAAATATATGACCATGTTTTTGTCTTACAAATATTCACTGAAGTTTCTGATTGCCTCCCTTGCAGATTTTTAAAGTGCACATAAGATGGACCTGGAAACTTTGAGCTACGTGTAGCCAGTGGTTACTATATTTACTTTACGGCAAGTTCACACCAATCTGTTTGAAATTAATTAAGCTACCTTCACTCAAAGTCGCAAAAATAGACCTCCTGTAAAAACGACTTTGCCAATTATCAAAAACACTCTTAATCCCCTCAGACGCCAGTGACGTCACAGTGACCGAATGCATATTCGGAATGTTTATTCCTTAATTACCTATATACAGCTGGCGTGTGTATTCATTAACGCTTGACTGATTCCTTAATCCCCTAATTAAATAAAACAATTGACTGCGGAATAATTTATTTTGTAATTTATTTTAATTTAAGATCCTATTTAGAATTTGTTTTATAATGTCCAGCCCTCTCTTCTGACGACAACGATTTAAAAACTGTGTTTTAAAATGACTTTTTGATAAGAGCCACTCTACCATCGTGTGCAGCCCAAACGATTCCAAATATATATCCGTCAGAAGAGTATTGTGGTTCTAATTTCCCCGAGTAAAAGAGTACAGAAAAGATGTTGTTATGCAAAATGTATCATAAACGTCAAACATGACTGAAACGTGATTTGTTAATGACGATCCGTATCTCGTTTTCCTGTAGCCATCGTACGGCGCCCTTCTTCCTGCATGTGGATTTGAATTCATTACTCTGAAATAGAGCGCAAAAATGAAATACGAAAAATATCTCAATATCATACGTTAGAATTAAGAGATTTAGAACGGTCTTCTAACTATCTTTGTGTATTAATAATAATATGGCAATTGTACATTGTAGTGTCGTTAATATCCGTCATTAATCAATCCGATTAAAGTTGCAGACATGGGGCTATAAATTAATTTACCTTCGATGTAGATTAGCTTTGCACACACATGGAGTTATAAATTAATTGACACTTAGATGTTGGATTAAGAATGCCCATTACGTTATTATTAGTCGGCCAGATCAAAAACATCACTCTAGGTAGAACGTGTTAAAACTCCACGAACGAACGACACAAGTTACGCGGGAACTTTGCTGTAAACATTTCTCCACACCACAACTAATCGTTGAATCGTACATTAAAGATCAGTTGTTTATAATTATTTTTTACCCAATAATCAATTAGCTTTGTTCTCCGATGTTTTTTAAGAAAGTAGCCTCGTATTATTTGTTGATTGGCATTTAGACAACATTTAATGGACTTGATACGAAATCTGAATATAAATTATTCATTATATAAACGTATGTGATTAGGTTATTGTCTAACATCGTTTAACTTCTTTATAAAAAAAAGGATTTAACAATTACATTGATCAGGAACTTCAGCCATAATGATCACGCATATTTGATATTCATGTCCATGAATTACATGCAATTGTCGCTCCAAAATTTAACCTCAGTTACTACGGCCGTAGTATGCATGGCACCGTACACGGTAATAAGATTCCCAGCGTTGATTGGCTAAGAAATGAGGGCGATCTTTTGTTATGCATAGTCATTGAAAAATTAAATATTCGCTGTGAATTTCAAATGGAGTTACGATATAAGTTGTTCTTTGTGTATTGAAATGGTTATTATAATTATATATAGCCAATAATGAATATAACGACAAATGACTGGCACCATTTGTATTTCTGTGCTTATAGAGATAGTTTGGGAAATCAAGTATTATCCAAATTATCAGTAAATGCGCTAATTGCTTGGGTCGTCTTCATCTGTCACGCGGCCTTTTTAAACAAAGGACGCTAAAATGGATCTACGGCATAATAAAGCATTTTAAATTCACTCTAAAATATTCCAATCACAAAATGTCTAACCTATAACAGTGCAAGACGATAATTCGGTGATTATGATTAGGTCAGTCACGTGTTAATTGGACCATGATGTGTATAGACAGATATACTGTACAGGTAGTGATATATTGTGTATAGATAATGTATATACTATGTGTAGTGCCTGTGACGTCACCAGCCAATCAACCGGATTAAGGTCGTAATTGAAAAATTGAAAAGCGTTTTGGCGTGTCGGATACTCAAACGTTAACAGCCGAATTAATTTTAATCAGATTGGCGTGAGCTTGCCGTAAAGTGGATATAGTAACTATTGGCTACACGTACAAAAAAACAATATTTGGCCATCTTATGTGGTCTTTAAGACATTTGGTTTGAGATTATACAATTCTCTCAGTCAATCAGTCTACTCACTCTATGCAACTCACTTGAAAATTATACAAAAAAAACCCTAGTTTTAAGATTGAATATTTTTCAATTTCCCAAACAAACGTTCATTCTAGACTACAAAACGAATGTTTTGTATACAATGAACACGCAAGATATGCCCACATTTTACCAGAGATGGACGGAGAACACAGAAAATCAATAGGACTCATCTGCTCATTGTTCCAATGTTTTATATTGAATTAGAAAATATAATCGTTTAGCCAGCGGTTGACAGGCAAAATATGCCCACATTTTGCAAGAGATGGATAGAGAACAAGCTAAAATAAAAACTGTGATTTTTCATACAATCAGGGGCCATAATCTAGGAAGTTATGGTCTGAAATGCGCAAATATCGAAAGGGACTGAGATTTTTGGGATATAACATATATTTTAAGTTTCATCAAAACTGGACAAAAAATGTTACCTCTAGAGGGTCCACAACCTTCGTATTATATACTTTTATACAATTGCACACAAGCAGCGACCATTTCGTTTCGATTTTCCCCAAATTTGAACTCAACCTTCATTATGGTGCGACGGTGCTATATTTAAACAATTTTTAAAATCGGATAAAAATTATGACCTCTAGATGATCCACAAGCTAAAGATAGGTTGCCAGGCAACAAAGCATACGGCCACAGCAGCCAAGTCATCCAGGGAGTCAATAAGGGTTGTCGCATATTTTTTTCTTTTGTCAGAAATGAGAATATTTACAACAAAATCGGTTTACAAGTAACAACCCTGGGGAGACGACAATGTACGATCACATTTCAATGTGGGCGTATAGAAATGTGATTTTTCAAACAATCAGAGGCCATAATCCAGGAAGTTATGGTCTGATATGTGCAAATATCGAAAGGAACCGAGATCATTGAGATATAAACACACATTTTAAATTTCATCAAAATCAGACAAAAATTGTGACCTATTTGCATTCAAGGAGCTGACATTTTATCGGGCAGTTTCGTTCCAATTGTTACTCAATCATTATCAGGGTGTAACCACTGTAACCCAGGTATCATTTAATCTTGTGTATCTAGCACTAATTTCTTTCACATTCTTTTAATATCCAATCTTTGTTTCAAAATTCGTAAAAACTGTTTAAAATCACCATAAATCGTTTAATTTGTACATCTGTCCAGTTTAAAGCTGACCATTCAATTTTGACAATGAGTGTCCAATTCACAAGTGTTTATTTCTCAGTCTCTGTTAAAAAATAAACAACCGGCCAATTGAATAATGATGTATAATGATTAATTATTGAACAGTGGTCAGGAAATTGTATACTTGTAAATTAGACACTCATTATCAAAATTAATCAGTCAGCTTTAAACTGGACATAAGTACAAATTAGATGATTTTTGGTGATTTTAAACGATTTTTACGAATTTTTAAACGAAGATTTGATATTAAACGAATGTGAAAGAAATTAGTTCTAGATACACAAGATTAAATGATACATGGGTTACAGTGAACAGTAATATATTTAAAGGATTTTTAAAATCAGATAAAAATTGTGACCTCTAGAGGGTCTACAAACTAAAATCATGATTTCTGCGTACAATCAAGGGCCATAATCCAGGAAGTTAAGGTTTGATACGCGCAAATATTGAAAGGAATTGAGATTTTTGAGATACAAATACATGTTTTAAGTTTCTTCAAAATCGGATCAAAATTGTTACCTGTAGATCGATCACATGCTAATCCAGGAAGTTATGCTCCAATATGCACGAATATCAAAAGGAACCGAGATTGTTGGGTTATACACATATATTTCAAGTTTCATCAAAATCAGATAAAGATAGGTTGCCAGGCAACGAAACATACGCCCACAGCAGCTAAATCGTCTGGGCAGTCAACAAGAGTTGTCGCATATTTTTACTTTTTTTACGTAATGAAACATATATAATACATTAAAATCTGATTAAGAGTAACAACTCATTAAGTAATTATCAGAAAACCATGGTTTTTATAAAGTTCTGCCCCATGCTAACGTTTAGTATAGGAAACTTTTAACATCATAGATTTAGCTGTTCAAGTCATAAAAATTTATTGAAAATCTCAAGACCTTAACTCTGTGTATCAATCTGAAGTCAATCGGATAATAACTTTAGCCTCTAGAGTGTCACAAGATTTTTCAAAGTGATCAAGGGCCATAATTTTAGCAGAAATTATCGGAAATTGTTGAAAATCAATATGATTCTTCGTCTCATGACCTCAAACACTGTGTATCAATTTAAAGTCAATCGGATATTAACTTTAGCCTCTAGAGCATTTACAAGATTTTTTGAAGTGATCAAGGGCCATAACTCTGGCAGTATTATCAAA